CAGCAGCCGCATGACTAGAATGGTAGAGGAAGTACAAACATTAGTGGATAGGAAGTTGGAGTTGGGGACTTCCAAGAGAACCATCAGAGGGAAGGGGTTCTCCAAGAGCTAGGGAAGGATGGTAGGAACCTTCATAGCATCAAGGATGCAACCCTCATCATGAGGTTCTTGAGGTGTCACATGCAAAATCCAATCTAGTTGGATTTTGCCTAGGTGTTGCAACATTTGCAACCCATGCTAGAAACTTCTAGCCACCCCAATCCAAAAGTCAAAGTTGCCTTCCCTAACCACCCAACCAAAGATCCCTTTATAGTCATGTCCAAGTAATCACCCAAATTATATATAACCCCAAAAGGTAATAAGAAAGCAAAGTCTTGGAAATCTTGTAACTTGGGCGATCTTGATCGGAATAAGGCGATCTTGGTATCGTTGGAAAGCTCTGGATCTCTCCTGCATTATCAAGCATTTAAACTTAAAGAAAAACACAGAGATGATAATATCCAACAGCCATGCACATTGACATATGCTCATGCAAACAATGCACGCATGAATAGCACCAGCACTCGGCAGGACGTTAGGATGACATGCACTCAGGATGACGTGCATCCAACACTGACCTCTAGGAGTGAACTGGTCAACCCACGCGTCCTGAAGGTCAGCTCCACTCACCAAGTTCGTGGAGAACGAGGGGAGGTGGAGGCCAGACAAAGATCCAGACGGGACCGCCGGACACAGCAGAACCGTGGAGGAGTGTGCAAGGACCGGACCCCCAGAGGGGTCAGCCAGAGAGACTGCCACTGGCCGACTGAGCGGCGAAAGTGTGGCGCAGTCGCGAAAGAAGGAGCGGGAAGCACCATAGTCAAGGGTGAAAGTGTGTAAGGCCTGAGCCGACGCGGTACCTGAGATAGCAGACTCACCAGTACCTGGGGCAGTAGACTCACCAGCACCTGGAGCAGCAGACTCACTAGCACCTAGAGCAGCAGCCTCAATGCCCGGGTCGGGCGGAACACACAGGTAACAGTCACCCTCAGCACTAATAGACACAGCATACATAGCAGCAAGGATAGCATCATAATCAAGATCAAAGATAGCAACCCCCGACTTAAGCAGATCACCCAGCGTGGGATCTCAGTGGAGTCAGGAAACTGTGTACGCCAGGCGTTAGTCAGGCGGCCAAAACAGCGCTGCGTGGCGTGCGGCCCTCCGCGCGTCTCCCCACTGCGGTCGCCGTTGCGGAGAACGTAAGCGCAGGGACCAGCACCCCCAGACCTCCCACGCCCAGCGTACCACTCACGAAGCTGCTGGGGCGACAGGGTCTCATGAGGGCGCTGCTGCTGCTGGCGCTGACCACCACCAAAGCCTCTGCGCTGCACAGCGCCACCCCGACCAGCACCACCGCCGCCGCCACCCCCACCGCCGCCGCCGTCGCCGCCACCTCCACCCCCACTGCCGCTGCCTCCGCCGCCTCCACCTCCACCACCGCTACCGAAGCCCCCACTCCCGCCACCACCCCCACCTCCACCCCCACCCCCTCCGCCGCCTCCACTGCCACCACCGCCGCCCGCGCCATCCCCTCCAGCACCCTTGCCCCCCTTGCTCCTGCCGCTGCGGCGCCTCCCACTAGGAACAGACGCAGCGCCGACCGACTCGGTGCCAACGAGGTCGACAGCAGCAGCAGAGGCAACAGAGGGCAAAAGAGGGACGGGGGAGCACCCCTCAAAGAAAGGGGCACGAGGGTCACCACGAGAGGCTCCTACAGCGACTATACTCTTCTCTGCTGCAAGGAGGCGCTCCTCGAGGAGGTCAACGGTGAGCGTGGTGGGGCAAAGGGAGAGGAAGTGGTCCCTGACCGAGCGAAGGGTGTCAGGGAGTCGGGTGACTAGGTAGTAGAGAGTGATGTACATAGGGGGGGGGGTTCGCGGCGCAGAACTCGGCAGGAAGCGCAGCGCGGTAGCGAGTGTCACTAGTGCGGAGGTGCGTAATGAGGTCAGCGACTGTGGCAAAAGCAGCTAGGTCAGGGAACAGGTACGGCAGCATGAGGCGGCTAAGGGCAGCAGTGGCAGGGGAGGAGTAGCGCGCAACAACAGCGTCGTACAGAGTCCTAGCAGTCTTGTACTGGCTAAAGTGCGCGCGCTCAGCAGACGGTAGGTGACTGTGAATAGCAAGACGGGCAGCAGCATCGCGCGTGGTCCACTGCGAGCGAACAGCACTGTCAGCATCAGCAGCAGGTGCAGCAGATGCGCCAGACGTGAGATAAAAAAGCGAGACTCCGTCCTTGCTATTGCACTGCAGAAATAGCTGCAGATCATCGACCCAGGCCTCAAAATCGACCGCTTGACCCTCAGCATCGAAGGTAAGGACATTAGGGCTAGCCATGACAGCACGAGTAGCAGCAGTAGCCTAGTAGCAGCAGTAGCAACAGGAGCAACTCGACTCGGCAGGGCGGCGCGGCTCGCAAGGGCGGTGCGGTTCGGTAGGGCGGCGCGGCCCGGCAAGGCGGCATGGGTGCGGCGGTGCGCTTACCAGTGGCGGGAGGGGAGAGTAGAGGCCGCGAATGGTGGGGCAGGGCCGTGACGCGCCAGTAGGGTAGGGGCCGCGACAAGGCGGCAGGGCAGGGCCGCGGCTCGGCGGCAGGACAAGGCCACGTCAGGGCAGCAGGGCAGGGCCGTGACGGCGGGGCCGCAGCGGCGACGACAGCGGCGGTCGCACCGGCGGCTGTAGGCTCGACGGCGGCAGCAGAGCCGCTACTACGGCAGCAGGGGCGACTGCTGCAGGGTAAGGGGGGGGGGACGCGACGACGAGGCGGGCGGGCCGTGGAGGGCCGCGATGACGGGCGGGCAGGCCACGCAGGGCCGCGACGAAGGGGCGGGCGGGCCGCGCAGGGCCGCGACGAAGGGGCGGGCGAGCCGCGCAGGTCCGCGACGAAGGGGCGGGCGGGCCGCGCAGGGCCGCGACGAAGGGGCGGGCGGGCCGCGCAGGGCCGCGACGAAAGGGCGGGCGAGCCGCTAAGGGCCGCGTCGTCAGGGCGGGCCGCTAAGGGCGGCCGTAGGGCAGAGCCCGAGGCGCGCTTCGGGCAGGGCAGGAAAAAAAAAATCAGGTGGTGGGCCCTTCAAAAAAAAAAATAAACGGTCCCACTAGGGAACCCGCTCTATACCATGTGAGAAACGTACGAGGAATGAAATCAACTAGGAAGCAGGTGGGTACAAATATGAAAACCTAAAAGAGTTGTACCCCATATTGTCAACCCCACTACAGCCTACAATATGGTTCTGACATGGATATGTGCATGCGAGTATGCGCAAGTGCATATGTGTGTGTGTATGTGTGTGTGGATGTGCATGTGTGTGTATGTATGAGGAATGGGGGGGAGAAGTGTGTTTTATCCGGTCTTTCCATTTTCATCGTCTTCCCATTTACTTTCTATGCTCACCTTCTCAGGCCAAAACTCGTTTTATAAGGATTTTTTTTTCTCGAAACCAAGTCAAGCGACCTAAGTATTAGAAGTGGAAGCACCCTGGAATAGCAATATCACCAAACTTTCAGATTCGCTGAACACATTGAATGTCAACCATGTGCGTGCCTTCCTCATTAGGAACCTCGTCCGACAAGTCTTTGCACACACCAACAAGAAGCTCTTCAGCCAATCTGTTGTTCTGCTTGCGGATCCTGGTTGCTTTCGAAATCAAGCTGCTTGCAGAATCTACTTGCAATCTATAGCTGCTTTTCAGCCTCTTATTTTGTTCTCTCAAAACCATTTTAATTATCCTAGTAGGCTTATTCAGCTTCTTGCATGCCCATGCACGAGACTACCAGTTGGCATTCTTTCACTCCTTTAACAACTCTCTCCGTTTACCTCTCTCTAACCAAACTTATGTGGTAAAGCCCACCTCCCCCCATCCACAGCCCCTTGTATCTCTCTTAGTTCTCCCCATCCTCCCACCCCCCTTGGTTTTGACTTGTTGACGTTCTGGCCCTTTCAATGTTATGGTTGACGGTTTATGGTGCACCTTACATTTCATCGACGCGGTGAGTTGTAGCGGTGGACCTCTGCAACCGCTGACGAGTATGTTGGTGGCGCATGGGACCAGCTGCAGCACATTGGGCAAGCTTGGGAGTTCATCGTACGTGCCATTTTTTACCTTGCATCCCTCACTATTTCCATTCTTTTACTGTCGCTTCCCTATCTTAGCAGCCCTCTCGTGCCCCAACCTGTTCCAATTGACGGCTCTATCACAAAAAAAATCTTAGATGACTCTAAAAACTAAGTTTGCACTTTCTTGCTTTATACATGAGACAGCTCTACCGCTTCGGTTCTAGGAATGCCAATGGCTATCCCAATGCCAGCTTGACAGAAGCAGTGCTGAAAGCCATGCATGAGAAGTGCACGGAAGAGGTTCACCACAAAGGCACCAATATCTTCTTCCTTAATACTGACTGTAGGTGAGTGATGGTCCAGCTGTCCCTATTTCTTTGCGCTTGTGTTATTGCTGCTGACCTTGCTCACAATACCGCTATCCTTAATCCTCTCATATTGATCCTTGTGTCTGACCCTCCAGTCCTCACCTTTCACATGTCAGCATCCCATTTTCAGTGAAAGACGTGTACAAGGAGCAGCCCAGAATCTCCCTCAATGATTTCCTTTTTCTCACGACACTTTCCTTTTGACTCACGACACTTCCTTCTAACCCAGAATTTTGCTTAACTTTGTATTCCTTCTTAAGCTACATGCACGTTTTATCTTTTCCTGTCCACTTCACATGATTTCTCCATAGTTTAACATGAATTGTGATAATGCATACAATGTAATATGGCATTAGCAATGTACACTAGCTTTGTTAACATAGGTGCAATAGAAAGGTATACTCCACCATATGGATGTCAAATAGATGGTACAAGCTGACACGAAATTGAGTTGAAGCTGAAAAAAATATAGTAAACCCACAACCTTTTAAGGAGAGATTGAGTCTATATGAATATCACACGGGATGGCTCCGGCAGCAATGCGAGACATCATTTGCTGGGGTCAACAGGAGTTTGGTGGGGTGGGGCGGGGTGGGACAGGGTGAGGTGCAATCGGGTGTGTGGTCTGCAGGAAAGAAAAGAACAAGAACCGAAAAGAATTCTAAGTTGTGGAAGGGGCTGGCCAGAGGGCTCTGCTGGTGATAACGCAAAGAGTGTGGACAACAACTTTGGAGTCGATACAAATATACACCAAGGGTGAACCGTGAACCTTTTTGGATACAACCCCACCCCCTTTTTGGAAGAAGATCGAGGAAAATGGGGACGACAAGGGCGGGAACAAGGGCGGGGCTTCTGCAGCGTCAAACTCTGCTGCCACGTCCTCCATATCCCGGTACTGCGCCCCTTGCATGTGGGGCGGAGGAAGATCGAGAACAAGGGGGAGGACAAGGGGGGGGACAAGGGCGGGGTTTCTGCAGCGTCAAACGCTGCTGCCACGTCCTCCATGTTCCCGTACCGCCGCCCCCACACACGTGGGGCGGAGGAAAATTGGAGGAACACCGAGGACAAATGGGAGGACAAGGGGGGGAGGGGGAAGCGCGGGATTTCTGCAGCGTCAAACGCTGCTGCCACGTCCTCCATGTCCTCGTACCCCCGCCCTCACACACGTGGGGCGGAGGAAAATTGGAGGAACATCGAGGACAAGGTGGAGGACAAGGTGAGGGACAAGCGCGGGGTTTGTGCAGCGTCAAACGCTGCTGCCACGTCCTCCATCTCCTCGTACCGCGACCCAAACACGTGGGGCGGAGGAAAATGGAGGAAGACTGATGACAAGGGGGGCGACAAGCGCAGGTTTCTGCAGCGTCAAACGCTGCTGCCACGTCCTCCATGTCCTCGTACTGTGCCCCCTGCAAGCGGGCCGGAGGAAAATTGGAGGAAGACCGAGGACAAGGGGGAGGACAAGCGCGGGGTTTCTGCAGTGTCAAACGCTGCTGCCACGTCCTCCATGTCTTCGTAAGGCGCCCCCTGCACGTAGAACGGAGGAAAAATGGACAAAGATCGAGGACAAGGGGGAGGATAAAGGGGAGGACAAGGGCAGGGTTTATGCAGCGTCTGATGCTGCTGCCACGTCCTCCATGTCCCCGTACCGCACCTACTCACAAGGTGGGGGGGAGACAGGAGGGAAGATGGGGGGGAGGCTAGGGGAGGACACGGTGGACAGGGGAGGCCAAAGCTGAAAGATGGTTGCTGAAGACCCAATGCCAAAAAGAAGAGCAAAAGGGAGGAATAAAGGGCGCCAAAAGCGGGTCGCGGAATGCGGAGACGAAGGAATGGGGATGAGGGGCAGCAATGGGAAGTGGGGAAACGCAGGGGAGAACCTGTGCGGGAAGGGGGGCAGAACCTGTGCGGGAAGGGGGTGAGACGAGTTTGCGTGTGGAATCTGCTACATCTTTGAGAATTGAATAGAAGACTCTTCCGCGCACCTGAATGAGGAGGTCCGCCATGTCTTCCACCACTTCCGCTATCGCCGCGGGGGCCTAACCCCGTCGGGCGGCGCGCTGGGTTTGGCGGAAAAAGTGCTTTGCGCGGGCGCGGACTCCGCGGAGGAAGCCTCCCATTCTCTGAGCTTCTGAGTCGTCAAACGCAACTCTTCCCATCTGACAGTGGCACTTCCTACTGTCTATTAACCAATTGGAAACGGCGGAAGAAGGGACGATGAGAATACATGAGATTGGAGCCTATGGAACACGTATTTGTTAGCGCTTTGCTCCGATTGGTAAGAAGCAAGTAATGAAGTGAGGGACGGGTTTCTGGAGCAACATCCTTACTAGATTTCCGACAAGCAAGCATCTATTAGGGAGGGTCCCTCTCGATCGTTTAGGAAAAGTGACAGATTTTGCGAAAACGAGTCAGTTCGGCTGACACGCTTGAGACGTTAAAATGACGGATCGAGTCCTTGGGCTATTTCAAGGTCACGGTTAAAAAACCCTGTCAAACGATTCTTCATAAGTTACTCCACAAGTTTCGTGATGGGTACTCGCTCGTGATGGGCAGCTCGGTACTTTGCAATCAACGAGCGAGACAATGCTGACATCTTCAAGGTCATAGGCGTGGGAGGAAATCACTAGTACCGGTGCCACAATGGGCACATGTATGCGATTGGGAGTGTGGTGGGGCAATGGAGGAGTCTCACTGCCCTGAGTGTGGAGAGGTGGTGGGCGGAACGCACCATACACTCACGGAGGATAACGATAGAGTCACTGGTTTTTTCAACAGGGTCTAAAGTACCGGGTTTGTGAGGGAACCACTGGTACGATAACAAGGGGTCACAAGACCAGTCAAGGAAAGCAAAGCAAGCTCAGGGTGGATTACGAAGTCACCACACACTCTGAGTACAAGCAAATGGCCACAAGGCCAGTTCACAAGCAGAGTTATATAATGGAGAACAAGCAGTACAGTAATCAAAACATAGCAAGTGTAAGCATGCAGGTATATGTATATAGATCAAAGTACAAACAAAGTCACAAAGTGAGCAAGTGAGACCAAGTAGGCATAAGGCCTAAAACAGTACAGAAACGCTGATGATCGCAAGGCTGAAGTGCCTTGGTGAATATATCAGCAGTGTTGGCCCGAGAGGCCACGTAAGCAAGACGAAGCTGACCACGCTGCTGCAACTCTAGAGCATGGAAGTAACGCAGAGCGATGTGCTTCGTCATGTGCTCCAGTGTGTGCTCCTGACACAAGGCAATCATTGCCTTGTTGTCGACGTACAGAACTGGAGGAGAACGAGGCGGCTCTCCCAAGTCGGTCAGCAGGTAGGTGAGCCAGCGTAACTCCTGTGCAGCCATGGCCCTTGCGTAGATCTTGCGGAGAGTCACTCTACAGCGGTAGTGAGCTCTACGGGGGTTGGCACGAACTACTAGGAGTGATCGTAGCTTTGCTTAGTTCCTTAGTGCTTGCACATTCATGGAGAAATCGGCAAGAGTTTCCACTAGCAAAGTCGAAATTACATAATGATTGAACAAGCAATGACAATAATGACTACACCAGGCACCTAGCAACTCTGCAGCTAGCTTGGTCGACCACCAGCACAGCTTGGTCGACCGCCTGCCAGCGTTGCGTAGAGGAGCCGCGCCAGCACTGCATAAAGGCGACCTGCCAACACTGCGGGACGACGGCATGCCAACGCTGCAGCAGGGCGGCTGTCCAGCGTTGCCCCGTAGAAGACACCAGTGCGCACGTTCGCAGGTGCGCGCAGACGATTGGCCCGACTTGTCTCGTCGGGCATCCGTCGGCTGTTGTCTGCGCCTGACAAGCCACATCAACTTCGGGATACCAGCCCGAAGTCGCCTTCGCCATCGCGACCTTGACGACGTTCGCGTGCCTCCTCAAAACTCATCGAGCAGGTTACCCGGTCGACCTGGACACCACCAGGTGCTCTGGTCATCCACCAAGTGCCTCAGGTCCACCACCGGGTCCTTTTGGTCGACCACCAGGTCCCTCTAGTCGACCACCAGGTCCCGTCGAGCTACCCCCTGGTCGACGGACCCCTTCCGTCGACCAGAACTGTCAGCTGTTGTCGCCGAGCTCGCCTCTTCGACCGCTGCTCACTTGTCAGGTCCACGGACTACTCCGTCGACCTCCCGGTCGAACTGCATCTCCTGGTCGACGGCCCACCCGTCGCCCAGACCAGTCAGTTGCAGCTGTCGAGCTCCCTGGTCGACAGCAACACCACAGCGGTCCCCTGTGTTACGATACGATCTTAACTAGAGTACGGGTTTAACTAAGGGCCTAGGCTTAGTAGCCTAGGCCAAGCGGGTGTCGAGTAGTTTGTGCCAAGGAGAATTGAAGAATGGTTGTAGGTTCACTATAGCACACGAGTACATATAGCAACCTAACAAAGATGAAAGAGGTGCACCACCATACAAGGGAATTGCACAACAGTTACACTACAGGCAGATTATACTAAATAGATATAAATCTATTGTGACACACCCCCTATCTGCCTGAAGTGCATAACCATGTGCAGAGCCCCCCTTGAAGGGGTACACCTGTAAAACCCCATTACAGGGCGTGGGAACACCAGCAAGGGCCCCCCTCTGAAGCTGACAAGCAGCAACCACCAAGCAGCATCTGGACCACCGCGGTGGAACAGATGCCCGGCTGCGGTTGAACGCCCCGCAGCTGGTGCACGGTGTGCGAGGAGCACGGGTACGGGTAGCGGGTTCGGGTAGCAACTAGGTGCTGTACGGGACGGGCCGCACGGGGGTGACGGGCAGCACGAGACCGGGTAGCACAGACCGGGTGGGGCACGAGCGAGAAGTGACAGTACGGGTGGGGCACGAACGGGTACGGACAGCACGGGTAGGGCACAAACGAGCAGAACGGGGCAGCACGGGCAGAACGGGGCAGGACACGGGCTGAACGGGGCAACACGGGCAGAGCGGGGCAGGACACGGGCTGAACGGGGCAACACGGGCAGAACGGGGCAACACGGGTAGAGCGGGGCAGGACACGGGCTGAACGGGGCAACACGGGCAGAACGGGGCAACACGGGGACAACGGGGCAGCACAGGCAGAACGGGGCAGGACAAGGGCTGAACGGGGCAACACGGCACGGGAACGGGCACGACACATGCAGAACGGGGCAGCACGGGGGCAGCATGGAAACACGGGGGCAGCACGGGAACACGGGGACAGCACGGGAACACGGGGACAGCACGAGAGCAGCACGGGAACAAGGGGACAGCACGGGAACACGGGGACAGCACAGGAGCACGGGGGCAGCACGGGAAGCACGGGACGCACGGGTGAAACGGGTGGGGCACAACCGGGTACGGACAGCACGGGTGAAACGGGTGGGGCACGGGGCAAGCATGGGGAACTCGGGCAATACGGGAGGTACGGGGCAGGGGATGAGAGGAGGAGGCGGCTGATGCTGCATATGAACTCTCACCACCCACACCCCCTGAACCTTTCCCCCCACAGCAGCATTGACGGAGAAAGAGAGGTGGAGGTGTAGTGGCGGTAGGTGCTGCAGCTGAATCACCCACCCCCTCAACCTCCCCCCCAACAGCAGCAGATGCAGGAGTGAGAAAGAGGAGGAGGGGCGGCTGGTGCTGCAGCTGGACTCACCCACCCACACCCCCTGATCCAGCAGTGGGAGAGAGAGAGAGGGGGAGGTGTGGCGGCAGTAGCTGCAGGACGGGCGACGGGCTGCAGCAGCGGATATCGCGCGGGCGGCGGGATGCAGTTGCGGGTAGCGCGTCGGCGACGGGTGGGGTGGCGGGTTCGTCGGCGGGCTGACTCGTGCGCTGGCGGAACCGACGGCGGGTCCGTCGGCGGGTTTGCTGACGCACGCGTTGGCAGGTCAGCTGGCTCGCTTGCTGGCGGGCTCGCGGGTCCGATGGCGAGCTCGCTGGCGGGTCCGTCGGTGGGTTCGTCGGTGGGTCCGTCGGCGGGCTTGCTGATGCGCGTGCTGGCGGGTCCGTTGGCGGGTCCGCTGGCTCGCTTGCTGACGGGTCCGCGGATCCGCTGGCTCTCTTGCTGGCGGATCCGCGGGTGAATTCGGGCCGTAACGGTAGGGCGCGACGAGCGCCCTCGCGCAGGTCGTCGTCGCTAGCGCAACAGCAGCGGGACAGCGGGCCGGTGGGACGACGGGCGAGCGACGGGTGGGGCCAGCGATGCGCGTAACGGGCTACACAACGGCCCGATCGACGGGGCGCGCCATAATGACAGACGGTGGTGGGCCCATTGACTTAGGTGTAGGATCTTAGTAGCTCGATACCATGTTACGATACGATCTTAACTAGAGTACGGGTTTAACTAAGGGCCTAGGCTTAGTAGCCTAGGCCAAGCGGGTGTCGAGTAGTTTGTGCCAAGGAGAATTGAAGAATGGTTGTAGGTTCACTATAGCACACGAGTACATATAGCAACCTAACAAAGATGAAAGAGGTGCACCACCATACAAGGGAATTACACAACAGCTACACTACATGCAGATTATACTAAATAGATATAAATCTATTGTGACACCCTGCAGCTCGACGAAGCCTGTCGAGCACCTCTCCCACTGTGAATGGTCGCCAGCTACTCCCGTACATCCGACCAAGTCGTCGGTGTTGCCCAAGCAAGGGCGGGACAAACAATCCACTCCCGTTAACAGATCTCAGCCTCACAACTGGAATTGAGAACAGAAGACGAGCGGGTAGACCGCCAAGAAACAGAGCCGGAGCCAAGGCTGGAAGTGTAACCCTGTGACGACCGCTGCGTAGCCAAGTCGTCAACCCAAGACGCGTCTGCGTATCCAGTGAGGACAACTAGACCCCGTCCTCCAAGCACGAGCCCCATGCCCGACGTACTGCACAAGTAGCGCAACACCCTCTTAGTGGCCTCCCAGTGCTCTGGTCGGTGTCTCCCGGGTGCAACATAGCGTGCCTGGATGCTAAGAGGGTAGGTAAGGTCAGGTCAAGTGCAGGTCATCAGGTGCATGAGGCAGCCCACAAGCTCTGGATACGGGCCCCTTGGCTCTATGGACTCGTCCGAAGGTGGAGATGAGAGCGAGTGACTGGTAGGCAGAGGAGTGGACTGTGGCGAGGAGTACTGGAAGTGAAAGCGCTGAAGGACCTGGTGCACCACGTGTGACTGAGTCAAGGTAATGGTGCGCCGTGCTCTGTCCCGGGTGATCTGCACGTGTGTCTCTTCTGCAGATCCGACTTCACTAGGGCGAGTGCCTCAGTGTCAGCAGTGGCAAAAACCAAGTCGTCTACGTACACGAGGATGTAGAACGGCGGCAGTGAAGTGTCGGTGCGCAGAAACAGCGACGGGTCAGCAGTCGAAGGAGCAAACCCTCGAGCCGCAAGCGTCGTCCTCAGTGTGTCTTGCCACTCGCGAGGCGCCTGGCGGAGACCGTGGACTGGCCGCCGGAGGCTCCACTGGGTACCTGCAGGAAGCGACCCAGTGAAGCCAGGTGGGCGGCACAGCCAGATCTCCTCGTGCAGGCTGCTTTATAAGAAAGATTTGCTGAAGTCAAGAGAGTGAAGCTCGTAGTCACGCTGAGCAGCGACGTGCAGCAACACCCGAAGAGTGGTCATCTTCGGGGTAGGGGAGAAGGTCTGGAAGAAGTCAACTCCCTGTCGCCGACTAAAGCCTCGTGCAACGTAACGAGCCTTGAAGGCAGGCGGAGAACCTGGCGGCCGCTTCACCCAGAAAATCCACATGCCATCGACTATGTTCGCCCCAGGAGGGGGAACTGCGTCGACGTAAGTGCTTGTGGACTTCCAGGATGCCATCTCTGCGTCCATGGCTGTCTGCCACTGAGAGGAGTAGGGACCCGTAATCGCCTCTGCGTAAGAGCGCGGGGTCGGGATGTCCGGTGCATCTGGGTCTCCCTCAGGTGCAATCAGCATGGACACGAGATGAGGTACAGCAGCTGCAAAGCACTCAAAGTCCTCCTGCCTGTCCTCAAGGACGTCTGTGCCAAGAGCACACTCACCCCCGACGGACGGAGGACACTCAGACGCAGAGTCGACAACAAGACTAGCGGCGTAGTCGAGACGACACTCAGCAGCAAAGTCAACAAGCTCAGCAACTAGGGCAGACGCAGCAGTGGACTCAAACCAAGGATCAGTGACAACAGTGTCTAGAAGACGTGTGACAGTAGGAGTGGAAGCACGAGCAAGGTCGGACTCAGTGTCAGGAACGTCAGGAAGAGAGGACAAAGGGGGAGACGGCTGATGGACACGCTATGGAACAGAGGAAGGACGAAGTGCTATAGGGTGCGTGCCGGGGACAGGAGGAGGACGCTGACGAGGAACACGGCGACCAGTGCGAACAGCGCGAACACGCGAGGCAGGACGAGACTCATGCTCACGAGGCTCACGAAGATAGTCTGTCGGCTCAGTGTAAGGAGAAGGAGCAAGCAGTGGGGAGTCTGGCTGTAACTGCGGCTGCACACAGTAAGGGAGGAGTAAGGCCAGGAGAAGGCGGGAGACCAAGAACCTGGCGAAGCAGTGGAACGAAGTACGGTCGCGGCCGCACAGTGCCTCCAGAACCAGTACCGACAGCACCAGGACCCCCAGGGGCAGCACCTCCACCTCCAGGGTCTCAGCTACAGGGTCTCAAGCTCCAACGCATGTAGCACCACCATCTTCAGTAGCTCCAGTACCTCCAGTACGAGCACCTCCGGGGCCAGCGGCTCCAGCACCTCCAGCACCTCCAGCACCAGCAGCTCCAGCACCTCCGCTACCTCCAGCTCCAGCGCCTTCAGCTCCAGGGTCTCTAGCTGCAGTGCCTACAGCACCTCCAGCTCCAGCAGCTCCAGTACCTCCAGTACGAGCACCTCTGGGACCGGCGGCTCCAGCACCTCTACCACCTCCAGCACCTCGAGTACCAGCAGCACCGCCAGCTCCAGCAGCTCTAGTACCTCCAGACCGAGCACGTCTAGGACCAGCAGCTCCAGCACCTCCGGGACCTCATGCTCCAGCGCCTCCAGCTTCAACGCTTGCAGTATCACCGGCTCCAGCAGCTCCAGTACCTCCAGGACGAGCACCTCCGGGACCAGCATTTCCAGCACCTCCAGGACCAGCAGCTCCAGTGCCTCCAGCTCCAGGGCCTCCAGCGGCAGGCCCCCCAGCTCCAGCAGCGCCACTCCGAAGGCTCCAGCGCCGAGCAAACCACTCGCGCAGCTGCGGCGGAGAGAGAGGCTCCCGCCGTGACGAGGCATCCGTTGGACCCCCAGGCTCAGCACCCCCAGGCTCCGCACGCTCGGGCTCAGCACCCCCAAGCTCTGCATGCTCAGGCTCAGCACCCCCACGCTCCGCACCCTCAGACTCAGCAACCCTAGGTTCAGCACCCCCAGGCTCCGCACGCTCAGGCTCAGCACCCTCAGACGCAGCACCCCTAGCAGCACCACCCCTAGCAGCACCACCCCCAGCAGCACCAGAGTCGTCAGCGACCTCGACAGGCTCGACAGGGTCTACCTGAGACACACCTGAGGGAGCAAGACCCTGAGGGGGGAGGGGGTCTACCGGAGGGGAACCTGGAGCGAAGATGAGCGGCGGGGGGGGGGAGCAGGGCAGTACGGTAGGGGAAGAGACGGTAAAACGGAACCGACTCGTCAAACCTGACGTCCTGAGACGGCAGGAGACGGCGCGTGGTGGGGTAATAAAACTGCAAGCCAGGTGCGTCAGGGTGAAAGACGAGGAAGACACAGGGAATGGCGCGGGAGGAGAGCTTGTCCCCGGAGGTACCGCGGACAAAGGCACGAGAGCCCCAGACGCGGAACACTGACGCATCGCCAACCTCCCCCGTCCAACGCAGTGTAGGCGAGGTCTCCTGCAAAGAGACACGGGGCCAGAGGTTGAGCTGATGCCCAGTGTACCGGACCGCAAACGGCCACAGTAAATGGGGAGCAGCCGCATGGATCATGGAGGTACGAGCGACCTCCATGACTAAGCCAATGCGGCGCTCAGCAACCCCATTCTGCTGCGGAGAGGCCGGAAGCGTGAACGACTGGCGAATGCCCTCCCCATGACAAAAGTCCCGCAAGAGGTCGGAGGCAAACTCACCACCTCTGTCAGAGTGCAGACGCAGGACAGGAAGGTCCTCGTGGAACCGCTCACGAAGCTGGAGACGGACAGCGCGGATCCAAGGGACCAAAACACCAGGGACCTCCCCATTGCTGCGCAAGGGGAAGACCGTGGTGTAACGCGAGAAGTCGTCAACAACCAGCAGAAAGTATCGCTCGCGGCCCTGTCCACGAACGCGGCCTGGACCCCACACGTCCATGTGGAGAGTCCGCAGGGGAGCAGTCGTCGGGGGAAACGAGGAGGAGTAAGGAGCGGCGCGCTACCGCCCCTCGACACAGGGAAGGTAGGGAGGGGCAGGCGAGGGTGGGAGGGGAGGCAGAGACCTGGGAAGACCAGAGACAAGGAGGCGGGAGTGCATGCCACGGAGGCGTGGCAGGGAGGGGTGACCAAGGCGGTGGTGCCAAAGGAGAGTCTGGTCCGACAGGAGGCGACACGAGCAGGGGGCTGCTAGCTGACCTGAGGCGGACGCAGACGCAGCTACCTGAGGAGGCTTAGTAGTCAGTATGTACAGACTCGACCCAGGCCGACGGGTGACGGTCCGTCCGCGTACACGTGCAGATCGACACACGCTAACCCCCAGGAGTGGTGGTAGTGACCATCGCATCCTGGAGGGCAGTGGTACTCACCAAGTTCGTAGAGAACGAGGGGAGGTGAAGATTTGAGAGTGAGCCAAACAGAACCACCGGACACGGGAGAACAGTGGAGGAACGGGCAAGAACTGGGCCCCCTGAGGGGTCAGCCAGTCTGGCAGCAACAGGTGCAGGGAGTGGTGTGACTGTGGTACTGTCGCGAAAGAAACAGCGGGAAGCACCTGAATCAAGCGTGAAGGTGTTCAAGGCCTCAGCAGACGTAGTACCAGAGAGAGCAGACTCACTAGCACCTAGAGCAGCAGCCTCTATACCTGGGTCAGGCGGCATATACATGTACAGTCACCCTCAGCACTAACAGTCAATGCATACATGGCAGCAAGGATAGCATCATAGTCAAGAGCAAAGATATACACACTCTGCCTAAGCAGCTCTAGCCAACGGGGGAGCTCAGTCGCGTCGGGAAACTCTGCGCACCAGGCGTCGTCAAGACGAGAGAAGCAGCGGGACTGTGTGAGCAACCTTCCCGCATGTCTGACCAGCGCGGTCACCTGTGCGAGTAACGTACTGGCAGCGAACACTACCCCCAGACGTCACACGCTGAGCAAACCACTCACGAAGCTCTTGGGGTGTAGGGGTCTCACGCTGACGCTGCTGCTGCTGCCCCTGACCACCGCCAGAACCTCCCCACTGCCGGTACCACCCCGGCCGCCACCACTCCCGCCGCCACCACTCCCACTGCCGCCACCACTGCCGCCGCCACCACTCCCACTGCCACCACCATCGCCGCCACCAACGCCTCCACTCCCACCACCACTCCCTCCGCCACCATCGCCACCTCCACCGCCTCCACCGCCCCCACCACCGCCTCCACCGCTGCCACCCCCACCACCCTTGCCTCCCTTGCCCTTGCCGCTGCGGCGCCTCCCACTAGGAGCAGGAGCAACCCCGACCTCCTCAGCACGAAGGAAGTCAACAGCAGCAGCAGAAGCGTAGGAGGGGGCAAGGGGGGAGGGGGAACACCCCTCAAAGAAGGGAGTGTGAGGAGTGCCACGAGCAGCACCTACAGCGACTATGCTAGCCTCAGCTGCAAGGAGGTGCTTCTCGAGTAGGTCGACAGTGAGGTACATGGGGGGGGGGGGGGGGGGGGGGGGGGGGGGGGGCTTGGCTTGAAACTCGGTGGGAAGCGCGGCGCGGTAGCGAGTGTCACTAGTGCGAATGTGGGTGACTAGGTCATCGACTGTGGCAAAGGCGGACAGCTCGGGAAAAAGGTAGGGCAGTATAAGGCGGCCGAGAGCAGCAATGGCAGGGGAGGAGTAACGAGCAACTCCAGCGTCTTACAGGGCTTTAGCAGTCTTGTGCTGGCCAATGTGAGCGTGTTCGGCTAACGGTAGGTGTTTGCGAATGGCTAGACGAGCAGCAGCGTCACGGGTAAGCCACTGTGAGCGAGTCGCACTGTCAGCTGTGTCGGGAGGGGCGAGAGAGGCTCCAGACGTGAGGTCAAACAACAAAACGCCGTCTCTAGAATCGCTCAGTAGGAACAACTGTAAGTCATCGAGCCACGTATTGAACTGGACCGGACGGCCCTCAGGATCGAATGAGAGGACGCTGAGAGTAGCCATAGCGGGCAGAGCAAAGTGGCGCGCGAGCAGCAGGGCAGCACGCACGCGAGGACTGCGCGACGGGCAGGGCGGCGCGCAAGCGCTAGGGAAGCGCGCAAGGCGGGGCGGGGCGGTTCACGGCTAGGGCAGGGCGGCGCAACTCGTAGGGCAGGTCGGCGGCCAACAGGGCGGCGTGCGGGCAGGGCAGAGCAGTGCGGCGACCAGCAGGGCGGCGCGCGGGCAGGGTAGGGCAGGGCGGCGGCCAGCAGGGCGGCGCGCGGGCAGGGCAGAGCAGTGCGGCGGCCAGCAGGGTGACGCGCGGGCAGAGCAGGGCGGCGCGGAGGCCAGCAGGGTGGCGCGCATGCAAGGCAGGGCGACACGGCAGCCAGCAGGGCGGCTCGCGGGCAGGGTAGGGCGACGTGGTGCCCAGCAGTGGCGGCGCGGCGGGCAGGGCAGGGCGGCGCGGCGCTAGCAGGGCGGCGCGACGGGTAGGCCAGGGCGGCGCGCGACCAGCAGGGCGGCGCGACGGGCGGGGCAGGGCGGCGCGGCGCTAGCAGGGCGGCGCGACGGGCAGGGCCGAGCAGCGCGCGGCCAGCAGGGTGGCACGCGGGCAGGAAAGGGCAGCGCGAGGCCAGCAGGGTGGCGGGACGGGCAGGGCAGGGCGGCGCGCAGCTAGCAGGGTGGCGCGACGGGCAGGGCAGGGCAGCGCGACTGGGGGGGCAGCGCGACGGGAAGGGTAGGGCGCTACGGCCAGGGTAACGCGCTACGGGTAGCGAACTATACAGTGGCCCTAAAAAAACAGTCCTGGATCAGGACCTGCTCTGATACGATGTCAGAATACTGAACGGGAATGAATGCACTACTGCCTACACAACCTAAACATTATAATAGTTTGACAGTAGGCAGTGTTATAATGTGCGTGTATGTACAGTAAACGATGAAAGATGCAGTTGTCTTTGTTTGGGTACATCTACCCATCATTCTGCTTGTTCACCGAAGCAGACTATTCACACGCTTGAAGCATTTCTTTAGTTTCCTTTCTAGAGAAGTCCACCTCTTGCGGCAACTTGGAAGCTTCCGATTCAATGAACCTCCACGTCCCCTGCACATGCGCCAGCTCTGTCTTCACCGCAGCCATGCGCATCGTGTACTGCGGGCGCCTGTTCAGATTTTGAGTCTTCACCACCCCTATTGCCATGTGCAGCGTGTACTGTCACAGGGGGGCAGGTTGGGAGGTCAAGTGCTGTCATGCTCTCATATGCAGGCGAATGAACCAGGCATGCAGCAGCATGTCGTCGGGGCTCACAGCATGCGTGCGGTACTTTAGAGACGTCTCAAGAGTCAGTGTGCGTGTGAGATACAGTTGAGGAATGGAGGAGCCAAGCAGCAAGGGGCCAAGCAGCAAGGAGCTCAGCACTGACTGTGTGAGTGAGATGCGCCTGCCCGCTGCTGTTGATCGCCTCCAGTGGCGCCGCATTCACCTCCCTCCCTACATCCGCGCTGCCCTCGCCCACCGACCCCTTGTCGCCCACTCTCCCCTTGCCCACCCCTGTGCACGCCACCCCACTATGTGTGCGAGCAGCGGGCGGCTTGAGGCAGAAGCAGACGAGGGCGAAGGGGCGCGGAGCCATCAGCTGGGGGGCACAAAGGGGGGAGTGGGGGAGGGGGGTGAGGGCAGCAGCGCGGTAGCATGGTGACGTCCTTGCGATGGAAGGAGAGTGGCAAAGGTGTGTAAGAGGGTGTGTGAGGACGTGTGAAGAGTCCAAGGTGGTGTGTGAGACGGTGGCCCGGGTAGAGCATGCTGGCAGTGATGGCATGCTGCACTCCCACTCACTTGGAACCTCTCATCTTGCTGCACAGCCTCCTCGAACCACTCAGCAAGTGCCACGTGGCGCCTGATGTATACACGAATGCCCTCCGCCCCATATGTCAACAGCACCATCCACAGCTTCAGCGACCTTCAAAAGAAGGGGGGGAGTCGTGGGTGGCGGTTGTGGCGTTGGCATGGCATGGGCATAAGTATGAGCATGGGCGTGCTGGTGTGCAAATTGGCTGGAGTACAAGTAGGCCTAAATTTCATAGATTCTTATCCACATTGAATCGGAAACTCCAGGAGTTTATGTGAAGATGGCATGAAACAAACCCACTGCATGCCATGCACCATGCCAGGTAGGGGAAGGGAGAGACTTTGTCCTTAACACACCTGAAGCGCCGGCCGATGGGGGTCTCCTAGTCCTTGTAATCCACCATGTGCTCGCGCTCTGTTGCCTGCTTTGCGGGAGAGGGAAAGGGGGGGGGGGGGGGGGGGGGGGGGGGAGGAGAGGAGAGAAGACGAGGGGGACAAAAAGTGATTTTCCGTTGGACTCGAAAATCATCAGCGGCAGGCGATGAGGATCTCCAAGTCCCTGTTTTCCACCACGTGCTGCCGCTCTGTTGTTTGCTTTACGAAAGGTTGAGATGGAGTGGGGAGAGAAGAGGAGGGGGGCAGGGAGTGGATTCTTGTTTGTAAAAAAGCTCATTACCAGCGGCGGATGGGGACCTTGAGTTCTTGTAGTCCCCACGTCATGTCGCTCTGTTGCCTACCGTGCCACACAAGGGTTGGGGGGAGGGGGCGAAGAGAAAATGGAAGGGAAGGGAGTGTGTGTGTCTGTGTGTATGTATGTGTGTGTGTGTGAATGCACATGAGCATGCAGGATAAGTGCGCACTGAATATGTGCAGGCTGGATAAGAGCACGCCAAATAAGAGCACACTAAATAAGAGCATGCTGCTAGAATATTATCTTGTTTTATTATCTGCATCTATCCTATAAGGTTTGGTTAGAGATAGACACCCAACCTTAATTTGGGTGTACAACCAGGGTGAACCCTAGTTGGGTGTTGGAACCCAACCTGGGTCCAATGATTAGCCTCCAAAGGCTGGGTTGGGAGATTATCGGTCCCCCACCATTAATGTTGGTCCAACTCAACTTGGCCAACATTATTGGGTCCCCAGAATAATTCCCCAACCCGACATATTGGTGGGGGGGTCAATTATGTTGGCTAGGTACCCAACCACCCCCCTCCTTCCTAGCTCCAGCTATGCATACCCTTGTAATTCCTAATCAATCCATCAGTTTCTCTTCAAACTATTATTTAAGATAACAGTAAACTAAGAGCACATTCCGTGTGATAAGAGCACACTGCCGAGATCCCTGCTGCAATAAGTGAATAGTAGCCCACCTTATTCCTCGGATGTGTTGACAGTATTGACAGCGCTTTCACCAGAGGCCTGCTGTCTTGGTGTGGCATGGGCATGGGGATGGGCATGGGCATGGGCATCGGAATCGGCAGGGGCACGCAGGGGCAGGGCAGGAGCAGAACAGGGGCATGGGCAGGGGCATGGGCAGTGCATGGTCATGGGCAGTACATGGTCAGTAATGCTAACTCTATCAATGGGAGCTAAAATATGGGCTAGGCATGGGGTAGGAGGGATCTCCGCTTCGTTCCTTAGTCGTTCTCTAGCACTTGTGCGTTCACGGGGCAAAACTGCAAGAGTTTCACTAGCAAAATTAGAGAACAATGGTACACACAAGATGGCAAGACTAGACTACATCAGAGCTAGGATGCAAGCAGGTCGACTGCCAGCGCAGCATGGTCGACCACGTGCCAGCACGACTTGGTCGACCGTGCTCCAGCAGTGCAGAGTTGCGGCTTGCCAACGCTGCAGGTCGACGGCGTGCCAACACCGCATGTCGACGGCGGGCCAGCGTTGCTCCCACAGTACAGCATTGCACCAGCTTCGCAGGTGCTTGCAGATGATTGGCGCGACGTGCCTTGTCACCTGCACAGCGCACACACCAAATCAACCTCGTGCTGACGACCGCATCTGATCAGCCACGTCGACCTCGGGATACCACCACCGAGGTCGGTCTTGCCAAAACCACCTGGTCCACTGTCGCACTCTTTCGCAGAACCTCGTCACCCAGGTAACCTGGTCGACCTGGAAACCACCAGGTCGGTATCGACTTCTTCGGGGAAAGTCGACCAGAAGTTGTATGTGCTCGTCGACTGCCCAAGTCGACGACCACCGGCTGACTTCACCAAGTCGGCCACTCCCCAGGTCGGCGCATCCCAAGTCGGCGCCACTCCTCTTCGTGCCCACCCAAGTCGACGACCACCTCCAGTCGACCTCACCAGGTCGACATCTACCTTGGTCGACCAGCTCCAGGTCGACGACACTTCTGGTCCACTAGCTCCAGGTCGACCAGCACACCTGTCAGCCGACCACACCCAGTCGGCTTCTCCTGATCGGCGTCACCCAAGTTGACGCCTCCGATGTCGACCTTGCCAGGTCGATCACCCAAAGTCGGCGCCCTCCCAAAGTTGGCGCCCTTGCAGTGGCCCCCGTGCAGGTCGACCACACGCGTCGACCAGCCTGCCCACTGCTGCAGGTCGGCTGCTTCTCCCGTGCACCCTACCACGAGGTTGGCACCGCCCAAGCGAGGACAGGGCCTTCCACAACTCCCGTTGACATGGTCATGGGTATTGCATGGTCATGGTATGAGGCAGATGATACAAAAGGCACCAAGGGTGGCATACAGCGGTGGCAAGCAGTGGTGGCTGTGGGAAACTGAGTAACTGGCAGCGATACAGGGGCGGACATGAGGACGAGCACCGGTCGATCGAGAAACGTACCAGAGGTACATATGCGGCCAAGCACCGCCCCATGTGCGAGGTGGCTTATCATGACATGTGAGAGGAACGGAATAAGGTACCTTCCACGTACAGTGAGAGTGAGGGAGAGGAGAACAAAGCACCTTCCTCGTACAAGAATTTGAAGAAGAAGAGAAGAAGGCACCTCACACACACTTACAGTGGAGACGAGGAAGAAGGGAATGAGGTCGGCTGCCTCATCCCTCTGCACCGCATCCAGCAGCTGGAGGGCAGTCAGGGCATACGCCAGTGCAGCGGTGGTGGGCAGCACGTGCACGTTGCCCTCGGGCATGCCAGCCACGTGGCACCAGGCGCTGCGTTGATGTGTCCTCTGCACTGCCCTATAGGAACTTGGGAGCAGCCTCGCCCCGCACACCCACACCAGCAGCGCGCCAGTGGTACTTCCTTTGCCACTCTCCACTGCCGGCCGCTCCTCCTCCTGTGTCACCCCTATGCTCCTAAAGCAGCCCTCCGTGCTATTCTGTGCTGAACCTATCCTCCATATTAGCATGCTCTCCACCTGGTTATGCGTCTCTCCTCCTGAGCACCCACTCCATCGTCTGTGCTCCTGTACTCCTCATCACTGCCCGCTCTACCTGCTGCTGTCGCTGCTGCCACACTGCCGCCCTGCCCCACCACGCGGTCCAGCACTCTCCGCTTGGCGGCCAGCAGTGTCACGAGCAGCGCCTCACTGGTCGTGCCGTGAATCAGCCCCCGTCCGTGCTCGCTGGCCACAGTAGTCATAGTGATACAGTGACACGGTGACACATTGACATAGTGACAAGCTGACACGGTGACACGGTGACACCGTGACACAGTGACACAGTGACACGGTGACACGGTGACAAGCACGCCACAGATTGTGGAGGAAGGGATGGGCAAATTTGAGTGCTCTGGTCTGCGGATGCTAACATGGCCTAATGAAACTGACAGCAAGTGGCTGAACAAAGCTCATGACCTCATTACCTCCCTAACCTCACTCCCCTTACCTTCCCTCCCTCTCCCTTCACCACCTCTCATCTCACTCCCCCCACCTCAATCCCCCCTCCATTTCCTCCCACCTGACTTAACCGAGTGGAACCCATCACGTAGCCTCACCAACTCCACCATCACAACAGCTCAGTCGCTGCAAGCTGCAGGGGCGGCGGCCCACGAGAAGCCGACGACGTTGAGGGCGCTGATGAGGGCGTCAGCACAGATGGTGGCAGCGCTGGTGGGCGAGGAGAAGAAGGCGAAGAATCGAGGGCTCGGCCAGTGCGTTAGACCTGGCAGGATGGCGCTGGATATGTCTGTGTGGTGCAGAGGAAGATAGAGGGATGGAGAGGAAAGGGTAGAGAGGAAGGGCAGAGAGGAGAGGAAGGGTGGAAAGAGAGGAGGGTGGGACGAAACGAGCACTTCGGGGAAGAAGGAGCAGCTGCGGTAGTGGATCGAAGGGCGGGGATTACATGTGCGAGATACCTCTAAATGGTAGGGGTCAACAAGGTGCCTTCAAGGAAGATGGAGGAACGCACGGGCGGGGGCGAGAGGGAGGGCGCACGGGCGGGGGCGAGAGGGAGGGCGCATGGGCGGGGGAGAGAGGGAGGGCGCACGGGCAGGGGCGAGAGGGAGGGCGCACGGGTGGGGGCAAGAGGGAGGGGGCATCACCTGAGGGAATGTCTTCGAGCAGTTCGCCATGCTCGGGGGCGTGGGCGGGCAGCAGAGGACGCAGATAGCCCGACTGATAGGGTGCAGGGGCGATCAGTGGGGCCGCGCATGCAAGGAACGGGCAGAGTGGGCTAGCGGGCGAAATATGGTGCAGCGGAATTGCGAGAGCGGGGGTGCAGGAGAATGAGTGTGTCTGGTGTGTTAACAACCACTCGTAACAGCATGCGACCAGACCAGCTTAGCTGTATGCTGTAGCCACATTCACCCTTCGCCTGCTTCCAAGCAACCCTTCAAAAACTTCAAAACCCACTTGCCATGCAATGCTGCTGCCACGGTTTTGCCAACTGCATGCATGACACAGCACGGAACGGCAAGGCAAGGTACGATTTGGTACGGTACGGCACAGCACAGCACGGCAGACACACACACGTACTTACGGCTCACGTATACAGTGCTGCACACGAGTCTATCCTCGATGAAATCGTGGTGGCTCTGCCAGCGCACCTCCTCCGCCTCCAACGCTCTATACGCGGTACTCTCCGCTGTTGCCCTGCCCGCAGAAGCGTTGCCTTTTGTCGCTGTCAGCCCGTTACAAGCACCTTCGTGCACCGTCAGCGCGGTACAAGCAACTTCTTGCATTGTTAGCCCATTACAAGCACAGTCCTGCACCTCCCTGTCCTGTTCCCGTGCTGCCATCTCCGCAGACGCGACCGGGGGCGCCGCTGGGCGATTGCGGCCAGCCATGGCAGGGGGGGCGACCTTTGGTCGGGGGGGCCTAGTGTGGCGCACGCCGAGCCTTGCGGGTGGACCTGCAGGCACCAGGGTCGGTGCTCCCTCCCCTGCGGTGCCCCCTGCGAACGCTCGCCGTGCGAGCAGCGGTGTGAGAAACGCCTCTTGTGCGGCCACCAATGCTCGTCGCTCTATGCCAAGAAGTGCCCTTCCCAGGCGTTTTGCACGGTGGAAGGGTGTGGGTCGAAAAAGAAGAAGAGGAAGATGAGAGTGGATCTCATCATATGGGAGACGCTGGAGGAGATTGATCCCAACTAGAGCCCTGTGCTCGTGCTGCCCTGCCAGCATGCTTTCACCGTTGAGTCCCTCGACGGCTACCTCGGGCTCAGCCAGGTCTACCAGGAGTCTAAAGGCGCTTCTGGTGGCTGCAGTGCGGTTGGAGGCGGTACAGAGGCATAGGCAGGCAAGTGGGTGGCGGTGCGGCTGTTTGAGGGCAGTCTATCCGCCCTCAAGCGCTGCCCGGACTCCGCCAGCCAATCACAGGGCTGCGCCGGTACGGCAGGATGGTGAACAGAGCACTGCTGGCCGAATCAGAGCACAAGTTCGCCCTTTGCTGCACGGCCGACAGCAGCTCATGCACAAGCTCTCCAAGCTCAGCCAAGCTCTGTCTGCATGTCCGGAAGCTGTTCCCTCGAGGCAGCTAGAGGAGCTGGGTCAGGCTGCGAGCTTCCTGGTGGAGGAGGCAAGCAAGGTGCGAGGCACTGCATTGGATCTGCCCACCCAGCAGACCTACCAGGCGTCTGTAGCAGCGCTGCAGAGAAAGAACCTCTGGTTGGGATCGCGGTCGCCCAGAGCGGCACAATTGCCAGCAGATTCGCCTGCAGGTTTTGCTGTGGCAGCATGGGAGGAGGAGTGCCAGCTGCTGTACGTCCCCCAGCCGGACCCCCGACCCCTTTGTGAAGCGTTCATGCTGCTAGGAAAGGCCTACCACCTGCTCATAACTGCACATCTCCTCCACCTGCGCTGCCTGCTGAGAGAACTGCGGGACTTGGCTGGGCGCACTGACAAAATCAGCACTGTCAGAGCATCCCTTGTGGCCCAGCAGGTGGGGGATTGCAGGGAGGCTGTGCGCGAGGCACTGGGGAATGCCGAGAGGCATGTGGAGGAGGCGGTGGAGTGGGATGGCAGGCGCAAGGCGCCGGTGCTGGAGGTGAGGGGCAGGCTGGAAATGGTGGATGCGCTGCGTGCGTTCATGGAAGGCGTGATGGTGGAACGCCTCCTCCCAACCTCCAGAACTGGCCACACACGACAAAATGGAAATCGCGCGACACACACAAACGACAAGATAGAAACCTCGCGAGACACACAAACGACGTAGACACGCGACTAGCGATGACTCGCTATTGACTCGACACACACACATTCGACATCACGACTCATCATTCACACACTATTATAAGCATGAAATGTATATTATCCCATGCCCTCATACCATTCCATGCACACACGCATGCACGTACACGGACAACAAGCCGAGTGCAAACCGTAGGGTTGCACCAACAAACTCCCCCTCAGATTGTTGGCCTTAGGATCTGCTCCTCTCAGTTCAGAGCCATCCCAGCCAGCTTGCAGCACTTCCAATGCTGCTGCTCCACCAGCCTCTTAGTCATCATGTCAGCCGGCTGCCCCGTCGTCTTCACGTAATGCAACTCAACTTCACCCGCGGCCACCATGCTCCTCGTCCAATGCCACTTCACCCTCATGTGCTTGGTGAGGCCATGCAACACAGGGTTCTTAGCAAGAGCAATGGCACCCTGGCTATCACAGTAGAGTGGGGTAGGTCCTTGCTGTCCTCCCCCAATTCAGCCAACAAACGCCGCTGCCATACAATCTCCCTTACGGAACGGAAGAGTGCCATGTACTCGGACTCCACCGAGCTCAATGCTTGGTCCACCTGCTTCTTGCTCTCCCAAGGAATTGGGCCTCCACCAGCACAGAAAATGAACCCTCCAACACTTGTCATGTCCTCTGGTTCCGATGCATATGAAGCATCCGAGTAGGCGGTGAGGAACAAGTGCCCGGGTTCTACACCATCCGCGCCCTTTTGGCGCCTTTGCGCCGCTGCCGAGTATTGCAGCCCAACGGTCGGTGTTTGGCCAATATACTTGGCCACCCTCATTCCAGCTGCCACTTACTCCTCATTAGGGCATTGCACAACCCTAGACAGCTGCCCGGTAGCAAAGGCCACGTCCGGCCGAGTGTTTACCGCCGCATACATGAGGCTGCCTACCAACGAGTGAAAACGGCGCCTCTCCTCTTCACCAACGCTCTCCTCCTCTGGTCCCTTCACACACTTGAACCCAGAGAGAAAGGGTGTAGCCACATGACCTTCACTCTGCCCAAAGTTGGCAGCCAACGCCTCCAGGTACTTCCGTTGGTGCACCCGCATGCACCGCTTCTCCACGTCGCGTTCGATGTAGAGCCCGAGGTAGAAGTTCACGTCGCCAAGTGCCTTGCAGTTGAACTTGTCCTGAAGCTTCAGCATCATCTCCTTCACAATGTCAGAGGAGGGTGAGAAGATGAGGATGTCATCCACGTACACCACCATGAAGCTCCTCTGCTCCCCCTCGCCAAGCATGAACAAGGAGTGATCGGCCGTTGAGGGAGTGAAGCCGATCTCCTCCAAAACTTCTCGCAGCTTCAAGTACCACTGCCTAGGGGCCTGCTTCAACCCATAGAGGGTCTTCTTCAGCTTCAAAACTCTGCCACTTCCATCATCAAACCCCTCTGGCTGCGCCAAGAAAATCTCTTCTTCGAGAATGCCATTGAGGAACGCGGTGGTCACGTCCATTTGTTTCACCACCCATCCTTTGATGGCAGCCCCCGCGAGTAGGGTCCGCAGCATTGTCGGCTTCACCACAGGAGCAAACAGCTCCTTGAAGTCCACCTTCTCTTTCTGCTGGTACCCCTTGGCTACAAGCCTAGACTTGTAGCGCTCGATCTTTTCGTCGGCGTCCGACTTGATCTTGAAGAGTCACTTGGACGTAATCGCCTTACGCCCCTCCGGTAGCTCCACCGATTCCCACGTGTCGTTCTCCTCAATGCTCTTCAGCTCACTCTCCATGGCTTTCTTCCACTCCTCAGCATCAGTACTCTCCAAGGCCTCCTTGAGAGTTGCTGGTTCCCCCGGCATCTCCACCGGAGAGAAGAACACGAAGGCACACTCCTCGTACTCGCTTTCCTAGTCATCTCCGACCATCATTGCCGCTCCGGCCAGGGCTGACTTGCCCTGCTTTCCTGGTGCATCATAGGTCAGCCTATTAGGGGCTTGAACTCTCCTCGTTCTCCTTCCTTCCTCCTCAGCTGCAGGGACTTGAAGGCCTTGGCGTTGCTGCGGGGTGACTCGAATCCGTGGAGCACTTGAAGCGCGTGAAGGAAGTGTCGTTGCACGCTCGCTCACTTGCTGCACCTCCTCCCCTTCTACCTCTGCATCCTTGGCCTTCTCTCCCCCATTCACAAGGGAAGATTGCCTTGTGGTGGTGCTGCCGCTGCTCAGCTCCAAAGGCAGCTCCACGTGCTCCAGGGCGGAACTCTTCACCTCCCCAAACCGCATGCCTATCTTTGCCTCGTTCTCCGCCTTCCAATCCCTGTACATGAGGTTCTCCATGAACTTGCAGTCCCTGCTCACCATGAACTTCTTGATGAATAGGTCCCAAAGAAGCCACCCCTTGCTGTTTTGAGCCATGCCCAAATGCACGGCCCATATAGCCTTGGCACCAAGCTGCTTGTGCCGAAGATGCTTAGGTACGAGCGCCATGCACATGCACCCAAACACCCGAAGCATATCCACCTTAGGCTTCCTTCCAATCCACTCCACATAGGGCACCCATTTGTCTGCTCCCACGTGAGTCAAAGCTCTGTTCTTGGCCACACACTCGCTCCGCACCGCATCAGGCCAGAAATAGTCGGGTAGCCCGGCTTCAATGAGCAACCCATGTGCCGTCTCCGTGATTGTCCGGTTCGCTCACTCGGTGATGCCGTTCATTGCAGGGGAGTATGGCATGGTAAGGGAGTGCCTTATCCCATTCTTCTTCAGCCACAATCCGAAATCCTTGCTCAGGAGCTCTTCCCCTCGATCGGTGCGGATTGACTTGACTAGCCGGTCTTGTTGCCGCTCCACTATCGGCAACCAATCGGTCTTCACCGTTTCAGCCACGTCGCTCTTCTTGGACAGCCACGTCGCTCTTCTCTCTGGTACTACGCTTGCTGCGGCCTTGCACAATTTCACCCTTGACTCGGGTGCTTCCCGCTCCTTCTTTCGCGACTGCACCACACTCTCGCCGCTCAGTCGGCCACTCGCAGTCTCTCTGGCTGACCCCTCTAGGGGTCCGGTCCTTGCACACTCCTCCACGGTTCTGCCGTGTCCGGCGGTCCCGTCTGGCTCTCTGTCTGGCCTCCACCTCCCCTCGTTCTCCACGAACTTGGTGAGTGGAGCTGACCTTCTGGACGCGTGGGTTGACCAGTTCACTCCTGGAGGTCAGCGGGTGACCCACTGTTCGTGTACTCGGACGGGCCGGCACCTGGCCACGTTCACCCGTCAGCCTGGGTCGAGCCTGTATACCCTGACTACCGTGTCTCCTCCGGTTGCTGAGTCTGGTCAGGTAGCTGCGTCGGGTCAGGTGTTTGCTGCAGCGTCCCGGTCTGGTCCTGAGTCTGCCCCCTGCTCGTGTCGCCTCCTGTCTCACCAGACTCTCCTCTGGCACCACCGCCTTGGTCACCCCTCCCTGCCTCGTCTCCGAGGCATGGCCTCCCGTGTCCTTGTCTCTGGTCTCCCCTGGTCCCTCCCTCCCCTTCCTCCGGGGCTTGCCCCTACCTGTGTTCCCTGCGTCGAGGGCTGGCATCGCGCCGCTCCTCACTCCTCCGAGTTCCCTCCGACAGAGGCTCCGCTGCAGACTCTCCACATGGACGTGTGGGGCCCAGCCCGCGTCCGTGGACAGGGTCATGAGTGTTACTTCCTGCTGGTTGTTGACGACTACTCGCGTTACACCACAGTCTTCCCCTTGCGCAGCAAGGGTGAGGTCACTGAGGTGTTGATCGACTGGATTTGCGCTGCCCGTCTCCAGCTCAGAGAGAGTTTCGGCTCGGACTTTCTTGTTCTGCGTCTGCACTCCGACAGAGGTGGAGAGTTTTCCTCTGACCTTCTGCGAGCCTTCTGTCGTACGGAGGGCATCCGCCAGACGTTCACGCTTCCGGCCTCTCCACAGCAAAATGGGATTGCTGAGCGCCGCATTGGCATGGTCATGGACGTCGCTCGTACGTCCATGATCCATGCGGCTGCTCCCCATTTTCTGTGGCCGTTCGCGGTTCAGTACGCGGCGCATCAGATCAACCTCCAGCCCCGGGTCTCCATGCCGGAGACCTCCCCTACTCTGCGGTGGATGGGGAAGGTTGGCGACGCGTCTGCGTTCCGTGTCTGGGGATCTCGAGCTTTCGTCCGCGACTTGTCTGCGGACAAGCTGACCTCCCGTGCTGTTCCCTGCGTCTTCCTTGGCTTCCCCCCTGACGCGCCTGGTTGGCAGTTTTACCACCCTACCTCGCGCCGTGTTCTGTCCTCTCAGGACGTCACGTTTGACGAGTCGGTTCCTTACTACCGTCTCTTCCCCTACCGCACTGCCCCCCTCCCCCCCCCGCCGCTCTTCCTCGCGCCAGGTCCTCCCCCGGTAGACCCCCTCCCCCCTCAGGGTCCTGCCCCCTCAGGTGTGTCCCAGGTAGACGCAATCGAGCCTGTCGAGGTAGCTGTTGACTCTGGTGCTGCTAGGGGTGCTGAGCCTGCGGGTGCCGGGTCTGGGGGTGCTGAGCCTGAGCGTGCGGAGCCTGGGGGTGCTGAGCCTGAGCGTGCGGAGCCTGGCGGTGCTGAGTTTGGGGGTGCTGAGCCTGGGGGTGCTGAGTTTGGGGTTGGTGAGCCTGGGGTTGCTGAGTCTGGGGGTGCGGAGCCTGAGGGTGCTGAGCCTGCGCGTGTGGAGTCTGGAGGTGCTGCGCCTGGAGGTCCTTCGGGTGCTTCGTCCCGGCGGGAGCCACTCTCTCCACAGCAGCTGCGCGAGTGGTTTGCTCGCCGCTAGAGCCGTGCTGCTGGAGCTGGTGGTGCTACGGGCGCTGGAGGTCCTGCTGCTGCTGGAGCTGCTGAGGGTTCTGGAGCCACTGTTCCCGGAGGTGCTCGTACTGGAGGTACTGGAGCTGCTGGGCCTGGTGGTGCTGCTGGGGCTGGAGCTGCTGGAGGTGCTGGAGCTGGCGGTACTACTGGACCCGGTGCTGCTGGATGTGCTGGCCCTGGCACTGCTAGGGCTGCTGGGGCTTCTGGTGGTCCTGCTGGAGCTGGAGCTGCTGGAGGTGCTGGAGCTGGAGGTACTGGAGCTGGAGGTGCTGCTGTAGCCGGTGCTCCTGGGGGTGCTGGAGTTGGCGCTACTGGAGCTGCTGGAGGTGCTGCTGGAGCTGTTGGTGCTGCAGGAGTTGGAGCTGACGCTGGGGGTGCTGGTGCTGTACATGCTGGTTCTAGTGGCGCTGCGCGGCTGCGGCCGTACTTCGTTCCGCTCCTTGAGCAGGATCTTGGTCTCCCGCCTTCTACTGGTCCTGCTCCTTCCGTAGAGTGTCCACAGCCCGTCCAGTCCGAGTCACAGTTACAGCCAGCTTCCCCACTGCCTGCTCCTTCTCCTTACACTGGTCCGACAGGAGGTCTTACGGAGCGTCGTGAGCCTGAGTCTCGTCCTGCGTCGCCTGTTCGTGTTGTTCGCACTGGTCGTCGTGCTCCGCGTGAGCGTCCTCCTCCTGTCCCTGGCACGCACCAGATGGCTCTGCGTCCTTCCACTGCTCCACAGCGTGTCCCTCTGCCATCTCCTCCTTCGTCCCCTCTTCCTGCCCTTGCTGACCCGGTGTCTGACTCCCTTCGTGCTGCTAGTCCTACTGTCACGCGTCTCCTGGCCACTGTTGTCACTGACCCTTCCTTTGAGTCCACTGCTGCGTCTGCCTTAGTTGCTGAGCTTCTCGACTTTGCTGCTCACTGTCGTCTAGACTACGTCGCGAGTCTTGTTGCTGAGTCTGAGTCTGTCTGTCCTCCGTCCGTCGGGGGTGAGTGTGCTCTTGGCACGGACGTCCTTGAGGACAGGCAAGAGGACTTTGAGTGCTTTGCAGCTGCTGTACCTCATCTCGTGTCCATGCTGATTGCACCTGAGGGAGACCCGGATGCACCAGACATCCCGACCCCGCGCTCTTACGCAGAGGCGATAGAGGGTCCCTACTCCTCTCAGTGGCAGTCAGCCATGGACGCAGAGATGGCATCCTGGAAGTCCACAGGCACCTACGTCGACGAGGTTCCCCCTCCTGGGGCGAACATCGTCAGTGGCATGTGGATTTTCAGGGTGAAGCGGCGGCCAGGTTCTCCGCCTGTCTTCAAGGCACGTTACGTTGCTGGAGGCTTCAGTCAGCGACAGGGAGTTGACTTCTTCCAGACCTTCTCCCCGACCCCGAAGATGACCACTCTTTGGGTTCTGCTGCACGTCGCTGCTCAGCGTGACTACGAGCTTCACTATCTTGACTTCAGCACTGCTTTCCTACAGGGCAGCCTGCACGAGGAGATCTGGCTGTGCCGCCCACCTGGCTTCACTGGGTCGTTTCCTGCAGGTACCCAGTGGAGCCTCCGGCGGCCAGTCTACGGTCTCCGCCAGGCGCCCCGTGAGTGGCACAACACACTGAGGACTACGCTTGCGGCTCTTGGGTTTGCTCCTTCTACTGCTGACCCGTCGCTGTTTCTGCGCACCGACACTTCGCTGCCGCCGTTCTACATCCTCGTGTACGTCGACGACTTGGTCTTTGCCACTGCTGACACTGAGGGTCTCGCCCACGTGAAGTCGGAGCTGCAGAAGAGACACACGTGCACGGACCTGGGTGAGCTGCGCAGCTATCTTGGCTTGCAGATCACCCGGGACAGAGCACGGCACACCATAACCTTGACTCAGTCACACATGGTGCAGCAGGTCCTTCAGCGCTTTGACTTCACGTACTCCTCGCCTCAGGCCACTCCTCCATCTACTCGCCACTCGCTCTCAGCTCTGCCTTCGGATGAGTCCGTAGAGCCGAGTGGCTAGTATCCAGAGCTTGTTGGCTGCCTCATGTACGTGATGACCTGCACTCGACCTGACTTGGCATACCCTCTTAGCATCTTGGCGCGGTATGTTGCTCCTGGGAGACACCGACCAGAGCACATGGCTGCAGCGAAGAAGGTGTTGCGCTACCTGTGCAGTACGTCGGGCATGGGCTCGTGCTTGGAGGACGGGCTCGAGTTGTCCTCACTTGTCATGCAGACGCTTCTTGGGTTGACGACTTGGCTACGCAGCGGTCGTCACAGGGTTACACCTTCAGCCTTGGTTCCGGCTCTGTCTCGTGGCGGTCTACCCGCTCGTCCTCTGTTCTCAGCTCCAGTTGTGAGGCTGAGATCTACGCAGGGGCCATGGCTGCACAGGAGTTACGCTGGCTCACCTACCTGCTGACCGACTTGGGAGAGGCGCCTCGTTCTCCTCTAGTTCTGTACATCGACAACAAGGCCATGCTGGCCTTGTGTCAGGAGCACAGACTGGAGCACAGAACGAAGCACATTGCTCTTCGCAACTTCCTTGCTCGAGAGTTGCAGCAGCGTGGTCAGCTTCGTCTTGCTTACTTGGCCTCTCGGGCCAACACTGCGGATATCTTCACCAAGGCACTTCAGCCTTGTGATCATCAGCGTTTCTGTACTATGCTAGGTCTTGTGCCTACCGGGCCTCACTTGCTTACCTCTTGACTTTCTTGTACTGTGATCTATATATACTTGCTCCTGCATGTGAACTGGCCTTGTGGCCTTTGAACTTGTGCTCGGAATGTGTGGTGACGTTGTGATCCACCCTGAGATTACTTTGCTTTGCTTGACTGGTCTTGTGACCCCTTGTTCTCCCCCACTTTGCCTATGGGGGTGTGTCAGACATGCATGATATAGCCTATGTTGGCTATAATGGGGTAGCCAATAGGGGGTACAGCTTTTCTAGGGTTTCATACTTGTACCTTTCTCATTCCTAGTCAATTCATTCCTCGTTCTTATTCTCACACCAGCCTCACACACAGAGAACGACAACGACCTTGCTCGGAAAATGTGTGCTTCAGAGAATGCGTGCAGAGGATGCTGGAGCAGGACTTGCGTGATCTGGAAGCATCTGTTCGCGACAGCCCTCGGTACTTCGCTGTGACCGAACGCGAGAAGGCTGATGTTTTTGAAGACATAGGACTGGGAGGGAATCACTGGTACCGGTGCCGGAACGGGCACGTGTATGTGATTGGAGAGTGCGGTGGGGCCATGCATGAATCGCAATGCCCAGAGTGTGGTGAGGTGGTGGGTGGGACTCACCACACGCTCACAGAAGGTAACACTAGAGCCACTGGATATTTCAACGAGAATTGAGATACGGGCTTGAGAGAACCACTAGGTCTGATATTACAATGGACATGTGTATGTATTGGGGAGTGCGGTGGTACAATGCAGGAGTCGCCCTGCCCTGAGTGGAGAGCTAGCGGGCGGAGGGAGTCATGTGTATCCTAGCATCAATCGATCACCATGCTCGATCGATTCTGGTGTGATAGTTACCTAGTTGCCACATTGTACCTGACTTATGAAAGAAAGGAGTTGTGTTTGAAGAAGTTATTTTGTAGGACAGTGTGCTTGCCTGTGTTGTCATTTGATTTGCTAAGCTGTTGAAGCTTTCTGCCCTGTTGTGCCTTGCACTCAGGTTCTTCCAGCTCTTGTGAATTGCACCAAGGGTGTCTTCCGAAATGGAATTAGGGCCACAAGCTGCTGAGTTGGCTATATCCCTCCAGAGCATTCTAAGATGTACTTGAGATTTAGTAAACCAGCAGTGTTTTTTAAGCTTGCGCCTTCAAATAACGGTAGACAGAGAATATAACACTAACCCAACAGCCAGAAATAGCTGGTGGTCCGAGCCCTTATTAGCCTAAAAAGGCAGCAGTCGGCTGGGTGCACGGACAGCAGCAAAACATACAGCAGCAGCAGCAGTTAAACACTTTGTTCGCGACGTCTATGAGAACCCTCTTAGGCGTCCGAGGTGGTGCCGTAGCTGGCGTATTTGCAATCCGCCGCGATGATCGACGAGGAGATGTAGTCCTCCAAGTCGCCGTCCAGGAACCCCCTGCCCTCCGCCTTATCCACGTCCACGGGGTGGTGCAACAGCGCCGCTAAGTGCGAGTACTTCACCGCGCGCTGCAGCTGCTCCGGCGAGTTCCTGAAAGTCTGCCCCAGCACGCCGTGTGCGGCTGACGTCATCTTCACGTCGGGGAGCTCCACGTTGAAGTGCGCCTCCGCCTCGGTGGGCGTCTGCAGCAGCGGATGTGCCACGCGCACGCGCACATCCAATTCCCCCAGCCCCGCCACGCGCACCCTAAACTGATCCACGTCAAACGGCCCCTCTTTCTCCTCCGCGACTTTGGTAACCACCAGCCCGCTATTCGTCGAGATCGACTCGCCGACGCTGGGAGGCACCGTCGTCGTGCCGTCTACCTCTAGCAGCGAGAGGAAGCCGTTCTCCCCGCGCTCCCGCTGCTTGCCCTTGCACGCAACCATGCGCAGCGTGTGGTTCGCGCCGTCAGGGGTCATCCATACCACACCGACCTCCTTAATCCACGTGTGCAGCTCTGTGCTCGAATCCTTATTCTCATTCGACTTCGTGGACGCGGAAATCGCGGGTGGTGCGCCTTGGTATCCATCCAGATGCATGTTGACGTGGAACCGACGGTCGGAGAAGAGGCAGAACGATTTATCGAGTCGCCCGGTGAAATCGTAGTGCGTGCCGTGCGCGCCCGTGAGATGCGGGTCGTTTTCGACGAGCGCGGTGCCGTTGCAGAGCCCGCCGACGAAGCTCAGCGGGTACGTCGCCGCATTCGCAGTCTGCGTGACCGCGTCGCCCGCGTTGGGCGTCTTGAAAGAGCCCGACGTGCCCGTGCCGCCGACCTTCTCTAGCAGGTAGCACTGTATGCGGTCGATGAATCCCGTCACCTTCGAGTTTTCGCCGGCGAGACGCGGGCTGGGGTGTTATAGTCACAATAGGCTTGAATGTGCCTAAAACGAAAGATAGAGAGCACAGACGGATTTCTGCACAGCGGCTTCAAACGTTGATAGCGTTCTTCTCACAGCTGCAAATGACTTGATTCAAATTGGATCTGGAGCGTCTTCACGTCGTCTACAGTTATCAATTTAGATTGCACGATTTGATAAAGAATTGACGACACAGCGTCGGTTTGAACGAACGGTACTATGGCAGCCACTATAGTCTTAGAACACAAGATAGGAAGAGTTACGAGTTGGGAATGACTCCCAACTCCTACAAACCCCAAGAGCCGAGGTACAGTGATGTGGAACAGTGCCACACTGTCCCCAACCCCGAAGGGTCTCGAAACTACCCTTCACTAGGGCCTACACCAAGTGAAATGTTATACTACACAAAGTAATGTAACTATCTTCAATATCTTGAGGTGTACCCTTTTGGCGAGCTTCGAAATCACTTGAGGCTTGACACCAAGGCTCGGGCTCTTCATCACAAACTCATCCTTGAGTTCTTGATGGGTCTGCTGCACACACCTGCGACACGCCGAACGTTCGACACAGGACAAAATAGAAACCGCGCACGACAAAATAGAAACCGCGCGCGAGACACAAACGACCGCGTAACACGCGTCTAGCGATAACTCGCTATTGACTCGACACACACACTCGACATCATGACTCAACATTCACACACAATTATAAGCATGAAATATATATTATCCCATGCCCTCATACCATTCCATACACACACACATTCACGCACACAGACAACAAGCCGAGTGCAAACCGTAGGGTTGCACCAACAAACTCCCCCTCGGATTGTTGGCCTTAGGATATGTTGCTCTCTCAGTTCAGAGCCATCCCAGCCAGCTTGCAACACTTCCAATGCTGCTGCTCCACCAGCCTCTTGGTCATCATGTCAGCCGGCTGCCCCGTGGTCTTCACGTAGCGCAACTCAACTTCACCCGCGGTTACCATGCTCCTCGTCCAATGCCACTTCACCCTCATGTGCTTCGTGAGTCCATGCAACACAGGGTTCTTAGCAAGAGCAATGGCACCCTGGCTGTCACAGTACAGTGGGGTAGGTCCTTGCTGCTCCTCCCCCAATTCAGCCAACAAACGCCGCTGCCACACAATCTCCCGTACGGCACGGAAGAGTGCCATGTACTCGGACTCCACCGAGCTCAAAGCTTGGTCAACCTGCTTCTTGCTCTCCCAAGCAGTTGGGCCTCCACCAACACAGCATATGAAGCCTCCCACACTTGTCATGTCCTCTGGTTCTGATGCATATGAAGCATCCGAGTAGGCGGTGAGGAACAAACGCCCGGGTTCAACACCATCCGCGCCCTTTTGGCGCCTTTGTGCCGCTGCCGAGTATTGCAGCCCAACGGTCGGTGTTTGGCCAAGATACTTGGCCACCCTCATTCCAGCTGCTACCTGCTCCTCATTAGGGCATTGCACAACCCTAGCCAGCTGCCCGGTAGCAAACGCGACATCCGGTCGGGTGTTTACCGCCGCATACATGAGGCTGCCCACCAACGAGTGAAATCGGCGCCTCTCCTCTTCACCAACGCTCTCCTCCTCTGGTCCCTTCACACACTTGAACCCAGAGGGAAAGGGTGTAGCCACATGGCCTTCACTCTGCCCAAAGTTGGCAGCCAATGCCTCCAGGTACTTTCGTTGATGCACCCGCATGCACCGCTTCTCCACATCTCGTTCGATGTGGAGCCCAAGGTAGAAGCTCACGTCACCAAGGGCCTTGCACTTGAACTTGTCTTGAAGCTTCAGCATCACCTCCTTCACAAGGTCAGAAGAGGGTGAGAAAATGAGGATGTCATCCACATAAACCACCATGAAACTCCTCTGCTCCCCCTCGCCAAGCATGAACAAGGAGTGATCGGCCGTTGAGGGAGTGAAGCCGATCCCCTCCAACACTTCGCGCAGCTTCATGTACCATTGCCTAGGGGCCTGCTTCAGCCCATAGAGGGCCTTCTTCAGCTTCCACACTCTGCCACTACCATCATCAAACCCCTCTGGCTGCGCCATGAAAATCTCCTCCTCAAGGATGCCGTTAAGGAATGCCGTTACGATGTCCATTTGCTTTACTACCCATCCTTTGATGGCGGCTCCCGCGAATAGGGTTCGCAGCGTCGTCGGCTTCACCACAGGGGCAAACAGCTCCTTGAAGTCCACCTTCTCCTTCTGCTGGTACCCCTTGGCTACAAGCCTAGACTTGTAGCGCTCGATCTTGCCGTCGGCATCCGACTTGATTTTGAAGAGCCACTTGGACGTTATCGCCGTACGCCCCTCCGGTAGCTCCACCAATTCAAACGTGTCATTCTCCTCGATGCTCTTCAGCTCACTCTCCATGGCCTTCTTCCACTCCTCAGCATCACTACTATCCAAAGCCTCCTTGAGAGTTGCTGGTTCTCCCGGCATCTCCACCGGAGAGAAGAACGCGAAGGCACACTCCTCGTAGTCACTCTCCTCGTCGTCTCCGACCATCATTGCCGCTCCGGCCAGGGCTGTCTTGCCCTGCTTTCCCGGCGCATCATAGGTCAGCCTATTAGGGGGTTGAACTCTCCTCTTCCCCCTTCCTTCCTCCTCAGCTGCAGGGACTTGAAGGCCTTGGCGTTGCTGCGGTGTGGCTCGAATCCGTGGAGCACTCGTAGTACGGGAAGGAAGTGACGGTGCACGCTCGCTCACTTGCTGCACCTCCTCCTCTTCTTCCTCTGCATCATTGGCCTTCTCTCCCCCATTCACAAGGGAGGATTGCCTTGTGGTTGTGCTGCCGCTGCTCAGTTCCAAAGGCAGCTCCACATGCTCCAAACCGGAACTCTTCACCTCCCCAAACCGCACGCCTATCTTCGCCTCATTCTCCGCCTTCCAATCCTTGTACATGAAGTTCTCCATGAACTTGCAGTCCCTGCTCACCAAGAACTTCTTGGTGAATGGGTCCCAAAGAAGCCATCCCTTGCTGTTTTGAGCCATGCCCAAGTGCACGGCCCACACCGCCTTGGCACCAAGCTTGTTGTGCCGAAGATGCTTAGGCACGAGCGCCATGCACATGCACCCGAACACCCGAAGCATATCCACCTTTGGCTTCCTTCCTAGCCACTCCACATAGGGCACCCATTTGTCTGCTCCCACATGAGTCAAGGCTCTGTTCTTGGACACACACGCGCTCCGCACCGCATCAGGCCAGAAATAGTCGGGTAGCCCGGCTTCAATGAGCAACCCGCGTGCCGCCTCCGTGATTGTGCGGTTCGCTCGCTCGGCGATGCCGTTCATTGCAGGGGAGTATGGCATGGTGAGGGAGTGCCGAATACCATTCTTCTTCAGCCACAACCCAAACTCCTTGCTCAGGAACTCTCCCCCTCGATCGGTGCGGATTGACTTGACTAGACGGTCTTGTTGCCGCTCCACCATCGGGAACCAATCCGTCTTCAACGTTTCAGCCACGTCGCTCTTCTTGGCCAGCACGTACACCCAAGTCATGCGGGTGTAGACGTCGACAATGGTGAGAAAATACTCAGCTCCAGCAGCTCCAAGCTTCAGGGGGCCCACCACGTCCATCACCACCTCATCAAGCGGTGCCTTTGCCGTTGCCTCCGAACTAGGGAACGGAAACCGGGTGAACTTGGCTTGAATGCATGTCGGGCAGCCAAGCACCTCATCGGGCTCCCCCTTCACACGTATGCCAGCAACCATCTCATTCTTCACTAGCTGCTGCAAGATGGGCAGGGCCACATGCCCCATGCGCCGATGCAAGGTGAGCCAATCACACTCCCCCGTAGCCGAAGTTGGATTGGAGAATGCCGCGCTCGCAATAGCGCCCCACATACTCTCTCCGTAGTCCTCCTCCGCTGCTGCCTCTGGGTTCTCCTCACCCTTTTGCTGCTCCTTGGTTGCTGCACCACTCTCCTTAGGTTCACTGAACTTGCTGGTCCCTCCAGGTTTGCTCTTCTTGAGCTCATTCTCCTTAGCGCGACCGTTCGCGCCATCGTCGCTACCGACCGCTCCATCCTTGGTGCTGATGCTTGCTGCCACTTGCCTCTCCTTAGGCATAGGGACCACTGGGATCTGCCACATCTCGTTGTAGACATCCCTGTCCTCATGAAGGTCCCAAAGAATTCGATCGCCAAGCCTTGCGGTGTAGGTCTTGGCTCCCTTCGAGTTCGTGTCCATGCCGGCCTTTGTCAACCGCCGCACGGAAATCAGGTTTGCAGCAAGGCTGGGCACCCAAAGCACGTTCTTGAGGCCCACCATCTTCCCATCAGCACCCTTGAACATGGCCTTGCCCATGCCTTTCACCTCTGCTCGCTGCCCCAAAGCCGATGTGACATGCTTCACCGGTGACGGCTCGAGTTCGGTGAGCAAGTCCGGGCGAGGTGTCATGCTATAGGTAGCGCCACTATCAATCACCCAATAGTCCAGGGGGTGTAGGGTCACCTTCCCCACAGCTGCTGGCTCCTCAAAGCCTTCATCCTTCTCTGGACCAGCCGGTACTTGCGTCGACACGAAGTAGAATAGACCCGGGTATCGATCATCGCTCGGGTCCTTGTCGTTGTCTCCGCTCTTCATGTTTGCAGATCCGCCACCGCGACCGCCACGGCCTCCACGGCCTCGTCCTCTCCCTCCTCCTGCTCCTCTACCCTCTTGGCCTTGAGCAGGGGTCCAACCATTAGGGAGTTTGTAGCAGTCGCGCCACATGTGTCCGCTCTTGTGGCAATAGTGACACTCGCCGTCGAATCGGCCGCGACCGCGTCCGTAGCTCTTGTCGTCGCTGCCGTAACCGCCACTCCTGCGGCCTCCGCCGCAGTTGCTGCCACCAAACCTTCCTCCCCCTCGTCCTCTGCCTCTTCCTTGACCACATCCACGGCCGATGCTCGCTGCCCCAGCGCCATCCGCACTCGCCAACTCACGGCGGCGGAAATCCTCTTGAAGGATAGCTCGCTTCACGTCTTCAAGCGAGAGGCGGGGCAAGTCGCGATTAAGGTTGATGATGAGCGAGGACCATGACTCTGGGAGTAAGGCCAGCAACTTGGTCTTCTTTTGGAGCTCACTGTAGTTCAAATCAGCTCCCTCAAGCCGCGTCAACAAGTCGAAGAATTTCTGCACCCCTTCTTCAACCGCTTCGTCTTCTTCAATTCGTAGTGCCGCCATTTGCCGTTCCAACACCACCGCTACCGCCGCTGTTGCAGGAGCATGTACACCCTTGAGAGCAGCCCATGCCTTTGGTCCTTTCTCTGGTTCACGCTGGAATGGCTTGATGTGACGGATCTGACTGCTCCCCAACGCTTGCCCAAGTACGAGATAGCCTTGTGCGCTCTTCCGCACCCACGGGCTCTTCTCCGGGTCGTTCTCGGGGCGCTTCTCCGTTCCTTCCATCACCTCCAGCAGGTCATAGTGGTCAAAGATGTTCTCCATCTTGAAGGACCATTCAGCAAAGTTGTCACCGTTGAACTTGTCAAGCCCAAACACCCTAGGCTCATCCCTAGG